CGGGAGGAACTCTCCGCTCCCTCTCTCTCTTTTTCTGTGTGTGCTTGTTGCGGTTTCTTCCCCTCCCCGCCCCTTTCAGGGTCGTGCGAGTGGCGCCCTGTGAGGTAGGTCCTCTCCTGTCCCCTGGTACTCCTCCTGTCGCGCTTCCTCGGGAGGCGCTTTGCCCCGCAGCTAAAACCGTCCGTATCCTCCATGTCCCTTAAGGTGACTCTGTGGAAGGATGATAGCGGGAGATAGCACGTCGTTAGCAAGCACCGAGGCGGTTTCTAGTCCCTTAGCTGCAGCACGCTACCCTGATGCTATTTGCCGTCTTCTTTAATTGCCTTAAACCAGCATGGGGGGTAAAAAGACAGAGGAGGGGATTTTCTAGGCTTTGCTTCCTTTTTTTAATCACAGTGATGCTGGAAACATGTTCCTGCTTTCCCTGGTTTCATGCTTTGGCTGCCTTAACTGTGAAAAGCACACCTGCCTTCTAGGAGAGTTGAGGCTAGCTCTTTTCTGCCTCTGAAATACTTGAAGACACATAATAACAGGATATCAACACATCGGATGTCATATTATTAATACCTTTCATGGCAGAGCTTTTTAAGCCCCTAAGTTGTGTACACACTTCAGGACTCAAAATCGGTGTTTCTGTTTGAGTGTCTAGGAAATGTCCCAGTTGTTTGAAGACGAAAAGTAAATCGTCATATCTTTTTCAGAATATTGGCTTTCGGTTAGGATTGCTGTCTCTTAGTTATGGTTGGGGAAAGCTTTCATAGTGGTAGTCAGGGTTCTCTGTTGGTAGACAGGTGGCTTTTTCTTCTGTCACTGCAAATCGTAGGATCAAAGTAAAATTGACACGAATATATATTCCTGCATTGGAGAGCTGATGATAATTGGTGGGAAGCAGTGATGAAGAGCTGCTGTTGAAGAGAGAAATAGAGATGGGGATGATGCAGATAGGTGACGTAGCAGACAGATGGAGCAGTGAACCAGAAGTGAGTCACCGAGATCTGAGACTGGGAAAGAAACTGTGCCCTTTCCCTTCTGGCGACTGTTTTAAGAGATATGCTTCAGGTTTAAAAGTCTTGCTAGGTGGAAATTATTGAAGAGTGAGTATATACAGGGAGTCTGGAACAGCACGTTACTGAACAATGACATGGTCTTTTGAAAAAGGAATTGCTATTTCCAAGCTTGGAAGCTACAGATCTAGGAGTAGGTTAGGCTTATCCTGCCACTAAACAACTAATGGCTCCAGTCATTGTACCTGATTTCCTACCAGTTGCTTTGCATGTAGCTTAGGAAGTGTGCATTCTGGAAATCTAGAGCTCTGTGTGCTCTGCAGCTTCGCTATGTCTTTCTGGTGGCTTATTTCTTCAGTATTCCATAATGGAATGGAACTTGCCCACAGCTGCTAAGTAGGGAACAGTCTTTTGACGTTCATAGTAAGGCACCGTTTATGTGGTGATGGAAGATCTTGTTCCCTGTGCTTCAGTATGTAATAGAAATAGAGCCTTTTATGTAGAGCATTTGTATACCATTAACTCTGCAAAGGTACAGCAAATTTCTGTGTTCTTAATGAGGAAAATGGGATGAAAAGCTCTGTAAAACAGTCTTTGTTTCCTGCCTTTCTATTTTTGGATAATTTAAGCAAATCATATAAGCAGTAAGGCTCCACAAACTGCTGAAATGTGCTTTTGGTTCTGTGTGTTACCAAAGGTCTGTTTGAATCAGAATGTAGAATTCCAAATGCAGATTTTGTGCAAATGCATGTACTTTGGCCTCTGTGATGGTGTAATTTCAGTAGAGAAGTTCATTAACGTGAAGGTTAAAATGCTAGTAGGAATGGAACTTATAGTGCAAAAATACCCTGATTTGTTTCTGCCCTTCGCATCCACCACTGTGCACATATGGAAAGATAAAAATCAAAACACCTGACCCTTTTGGATAGTTCCTCTATTTAGTCTATGGAACCGTCTTAAGTGAACTGGAGACCTCAAGCATGCCGTTCTGGATCTCCTGTTTTACTCTG